AACATATCCGATCAATCCAACCCAAACCAATAAAAATATTTTTGATTTATTTGAGCATTAGATTCTCTTGAAACCAAACCAAACCGGTCCGCGAACACCTATATCTCAATGTGTCTTGGATTTTTATTTATAAACTAATAACAAACTCGTGTGTACCCATGTGCCTGATTGTTTGAGGAGTTTCGGTTATGGATGCGTAATTATTAATCATATAAAAAATAAGACTGCTATGATTAAGACATACTCCCTCCATTTTATTTTATAAGTAAATTTTGACTTCTTAGGTTCATTAAATAAATGATGTATTTGAATTATATATAGGTTAGATGCATTACCTAATTAATGAATCTAAAATGTCAAAATATACTTATAAATAAAAATCGAAGGAGTAAGTGAGAAAATCAAGCATTATTATAATTGAGAATTTAGTTATGTTTAAAAAATAAATGTAAACATAAAATGTGAAGTCATTGAACTAAAGTGAACAGAAAATCATAAAGTAGTTTAATTAAATAAATAAAATTTGATGAAATTTTTTAACAGAATAATATTGAAATAAAAATGAATAAATAAATAACGTCATGAATTGAGATAGAATTTAAATAGATATGTTAAAAGGAATGTTAGAGGGTAAGTTAGATTAGTTAAACAAAATATGGAAATAGTGACTTTTTTTTTAAATTATTGAGTATCCACTGTTAAAAAAATTTGAAATAAAAAAAAAGTAAAAAATAGTAGAAATATATAATAATTGAAAATTAATATTAGAAAAAGAAAATTTTAAATTTAGTAGATCTTGTTGTAGGACAAATGATAAAAAGACATTTATTAGGAAATACTCAACGTTTAAAAAATTGAGTTGGTTTTTTTAGTATAGAATGGGCCCAAATGTAATAAGTATAAGTAAAATCAGGGTTTAGTTAGAAGCCGCATTCTTCACTTTGTTAAAGGTAGTCAGAAAGATAAGCAACATCCAAAAATGGTTTCTCCTAATCTCAACACCATTTCAAGCGGGTAAGGAAAAATAAGGTGTATGATGTTTTAAAATAGAGTGAAAGAAGCAAATATAAATTTCATTCCATTTCGAACAGAACTGATTATAAGAGATTGAAGAAATCTAATGTATTTTTTTTTGTTTTTGCTGCAGATCTTCATCTGATTTCGAAAGAAACAAATAGTGGATCCAGCAGAAACTAGATTCATTTATGCATAAGCAAAATATGCAAATATGGATGATACCGCGTATGCAAAAATGAAGAATACGGGAAAAGAAAAAGGGGTTGCAGGAAAGGCATCAAAGGATGCAGGAAGCTCCATGAAAAAGATCGAAATAGTAAAACGGCTTGCAGTAATGGCAAAAGGAAAACGGGTTGCAGAAAAATCATTGAAGGATACAAGAAGCTCCGTGAAGAACGCCGAAAAAGAAAAATGACTTGCAGTAAAGGCATCAAAGGATGCGGGAAATTGAAAAGCCAAGTAAGTGGAAGAATGTTCGGACATTGTTGAAGTTATCGCAAAATGCAAAAAGAGGTAAATAAACTCTCTTGTTGTTGTTGCATGTGCAATATTTATTTATTATTTTGTTGTAGAGTGTTGTGTATGTTATAAACATTTGGGCTATATTCATATAAATGATAACGAAGCATATATATGTCACTTTAAATGGTTTACGGAATTTTTAGAAATTATTGATTAATTTGCATTTATGGTTGGTGGGTTCGAAATGAAGTGTTAGTTTTATAACTTTTTGTAATAACAAAGAAGGTAAAATGTGTAATGTGTAATCAATCTTTTTAGGTGTTAAAAGAGATATGAGTGAAGTTGGAAATTTTATTTGATTGAACATATGCTGTGTATATATAATATTTAACTGGCGCGAATCAAATTCTTTTTAATGATGAAATAGGTGATCGATATCTTATTGTGCAGAGGATTATACTCATTTCTTGGTGGTAGTTACACAAGGACCATAAACATAATTTTAGATGTAGTTATTATGAATGATGTAAATTTTCTTGGATATTCTTATAGTTTTAGGCCTGGTGGTATTAGTATGTCCTTTGGCTAATCTTTACATGTTGATTGTATATGGGTAGAGATACCCCTAGTATCTCTATTGGAATTATCTTTGTTTATAAAAAAACAATAAGATATTTAACTTCAAGAAAAAAATGAAACATCATTTGTGATATTCACAACCAATATAAAGAAACAATAAAATTAGAAATTTTATATTATTTTAAAAAAAATAGTTGATGTAAATTAGATATTTAAAAAAATATTTTTGCATATTTGTTTCTAATATATCCGATCAATCCAACCCAAACCAATTCAAATATTTTTAATTGATTTGGGCATTAGATTCTCTTGAAACCAAACCAAACCGGTCCGCGAACACCTATATCTTAATGTGTCTTGGATTTTTATTTATAAACTAATAACAAACTCGTGTGTACCCATGTGCCTGATTGTTTGAGGAGTTTCGGTTATGGATGCGTAATTGTTAATCATATAAAAAATAAGAGTGCTATGATTAAGACATACTCCCTCCATTTTCTTTTATAAGTAAATTTTGACTTCTTAGATTCATTAAATAAATGATGTATTTGAATTATATATAGGTTAGATGCATTACCTAATTAATGAATCTAAAATGTCAAAATATACTTATAAATAAAAATCGAAGGAGTAAGTGAGAAAATCAAACATTATTATAATTGAGAATTTAGTTATGTTTAAAAAATAAATGTAAACATAAAATGTGAAGTCATTGAACTAAAGTGAACAGAAAATCATAAAGTAGTTTAATTAAATAAATAAAATTTGATGAAATTTTTTAACAGAATAGTATTGAAATAAAAATGAATAAATAAATAACGTCATGAATTGAGATAGAATTTAAATAGATATGTTAAAATGAATGTTAGAGAGTAAGTTAGATTAGTTAAACAAAATATGGAAATCGTGATATTTTTTTTTAAATTATTGAGTATCCACTGTTAAAAAAATTTGAAATAAAAAAAAAAGTAAAAAATAGTAGAAATATATAATAATTAAAAATTAATATTAGAAAAAGAAAATTTTAAATTTAGTAGATCTTGGTGTAGGACAAATGATAAAAAGACAATTATTAGGAAATACTCAACATTTAAAAAATTGAGTTGGTTTTTTTAGTATAGAATGGGCCCAAATGTAATAAGTATAAGTAAAATCAGGGTTTAGTTAGAAGCCGCATTCTTCACTTTGTTAAAGGTAGTCAGAAAGATAAGCAACATCCAAAAATGGTTTCTCCTAATCTCAACACCATTTCAAGCGGGTAAGGAAAAATAAGGTGTATGATGTTTTAAAATAGATTGAAAGAAGCAAATATAAATTTCATTCCATTTCGAACAGAACTGATTATAAGAGATTGAAGAAATCTAATGTATTTTTTTTTTTTTTGCTGCAGATCTTCATCTGATTTTGAAAGAAACAAAGAGTGGATCCAGCAGAAACTAGATTCATTTATGCATAAGCAAAATATGCAAATATGGATGATACCGCGTATGCAAGAATGAAGAAGACGGGAAAAGAAAAACACTACAACAAAAATGACTTTTGGCAACAACTCAAAACCGCAACCTAAAGTGCAATAACCGTAGCCTAAGGCTTTAGGGGACGGTTTATCAGACGTGGAATAAACGGCCGTTGCCTATTCCTTTAGAGCGCGGTTTTTTTATTTTTAACCACGGATTCAAAACACCGTCGCCTAAATCATCAAATTCCACGGTTTTAGTTGTAGTTTTAGTCCGCGGTTTTCTAGTAACAACACAAAATAACCGTCCCCAAAACATGAATATACAACGGTTATAAACAAGCAACAAATGAAAACCGTAGCTAGTTTATAATTTCTTTATAATTTCTTTTAAAGAACCGCGCCTAAAACTTAGGAAAAGTCAACGGTTTTTAATAAACTTAAAGTTAAAGTTAGGTAAATATTAACTTTAAACTTAAAGTTATAATTATTAAAAAAATTCCTATTCATTTATATGATGATACATTTCAACCATAAACCTTCATTTTGTTCTAATATAGTATAAGTCAATATTATTAATTAAATGAGAAGAAACACATGTATAAATTAATCAAAAATATGAAGTATTAATAAGATGATGTGTAATAAACACTTTGAAATGTTAGAACAAATATTTTCAAAATAAATCCAAACTCTTTGAAATATAATAAACTAATTAGGTGGTTTGTGTAACTCCATAAATTTCCTAGTTTTTTTCCATACGATAGTTACATCTTGTTGTGATAGCATGTCCCTGCAAAGGTTTTCTGTAAATTCATGTCTGAACATAATCCCATATAAAGAATAGCTTTAAATCAGTACATGTATTGGTGACTTGATAATACATGTGAAGTGTCAGCTGAGAGGTTCTTATTTGTGTTCTGGTTCTAAGCATCTTTCTTAGATTGTATCATGTCACAGTATCCATCTCTAGTGCCTGTCTTGTTTGTCCAAGAATGTTGAATACAGTCGCCGCAATTTTGTTGTTTCTAAATGACTTACAGCATATTGGCTCAAGTCAGATACTGATATATCTGCAAGAAAGTGATTGGCTTTGACAACACACTTTGTCCCAAGTTTTCCATAGCCAGGCCTAGAAGGAAAAACAAGAGTTTTGCAAGAGGAAGAAATACATAAAGCTAGCTGAGATTCAAGTCCAGTTTCTTGGTCTTTATCTTCTTCCTTCATTAGTATTGGCTAGATTAGATATCTCTGTAGAAAATAAACAAGAAAATTTCACTTGTTAGTTTCACGCAATGGTTGGTTCTTGAAAATAAAGAAAGAAAATAAAGGTACATGGCATCAAATCTTGACAGCATTTCATTTCATCTTCTACTAGGTGTTGTTTATTCTCTGAATCTTCTGAGATTGAGAAAAAAAAGTGACATGCAAATAACAAGAAACTAACAATATTCTATAAAAACTCTTATATGATATGATGTCTTCACTAAAGTGCAAATAACAAGAAAATAACAGTATATTTATGATATGATATGATGCCTTCACTACAACAAAAATGATTTATGATATGATATGAAGAGATACAATTCAAGCGAGCAAAGTGGTTAGAGTTCACAATGCGCGACAAATCTTTTGATTCTATTGGGCTCTTTCCAAAGCAGTTTTCCAATTCAGTCTTTAAAGCATCTACCTGAAAATGAAAAACACCAAACATTAGATCCACATAGACAAAGATTTACAACTCTTGATCACACGAAGAAACTTTCATACCAATTTCGGAGCAAACTCTTTTGTTGTTATAAGATAATCAGGAGAAATTCGGGCTTGTCCATTGTTACATCCCCATTTGCCAGAAATTATCCGTCTTGCAACAACCTTGTAAATTCAAATGCAGTTATAGTCAATAGAAAAACTCAAACTTAATCAATGCAAATGCGGCCTTAATCAATAGATAAACTCAAACTAATCAATGCAAGCACGGCCTGAGTCAATACCTCTAAATTGACATTTGAATCAACAACAGTTGGAGATTTTCCTCCGAGCTCCAGAACAACTGGTGTAAGGTGTTTTGCAGCTGCAACCATCACTATCCGTCCCACTTTTCCATTTCCTGAAAAATTCAAGAATTACTTTAGCTAGTACCATTTTTTTGTTCAAAACTCGCAGCTATCCATGAAAAACAAATCGATAATAACACACAAGACAAACCTGTATAGAAAATTGTGTCCCACTTTTGTTGCAGCAATGCAGTAGTTTCATCCACTGCCCCTTCCACAACTCTTATAGAAGAGTTATCCAAGTACTCCCCTAACAATTTCGCTAGCAGTGAAGATGAAGCCGGAGCAATTTCTGATGGTTTTAAAACCACAACATTACCCGCTGCTATAGCTCCGACGACTGGATCAAGGGACAACACTGGAAGAACAGACAAAGAGTAATACTAATATTATAATCTTCATAGATTATCATAAAAAAAAACAATAAGCTGAAAATATCAACTCTAAAACATTTGAATAAACAACTTAATTAAGTAATTGTAACATAACCGTTTATCATATAAATAATCTATAACTTGTTTGTATAATTACAGATAAATTCAAATGAGTCAATCCAATCAGGCTCGACTCAGAGTTAGTTACAAAACGGATAGTTCCATGGGGAGATGACTAACACAACACCAAGCGGTTTAGGTATGATTTCAGCCGAAGACGGAAAAGTTGTGATTGAAGTTTTAGCCTGAAATAATTAAAGAAACTTCATATAATAAATCAAATAAACTAACTAACTATATATATAAGCAATAAAAGAAACCTTTTCTGGTGTCATCCATTGTTTCAATTCTTTCAACATGAGTTCACATGAGTTTTTAAGCATAACAATCTACAAAACAATAGTTACTCAGTAATTGGCGACTTTTTTGTCGTGGAATAATACCGATATTTCATTATGAATAAAAAAGAGAGTAAGAGCGAGAAGATAGTGAAGAATAGTGAGTTTTTTGTCGTGGAATAATCCTGAGTTTTTTGTCTGGTATTATAATAAAAATTATTGGAGGTGAAGATCACAACAAAAGGGAGACCATATAAATTTTATCTGAATTGGAGATCTTGAGGTTGTATTTCAGATGTATTATTATTTTAGTGGTGAATATTCAAAAGTGACGGAACGTACCTGATAAGTTCCCTGAGAAACACTTCCTTGTTACTGTATAAACTGTTAACAATAAGGTCCATGAGCCGACTAACCTGCCAAAGATACACAATATCCAAAACAATGTTCATGATATATATCAAGTGCACTAGAGGTAACAAACCATACACATAAACTGATCTTGGACTCTTGGTTGAGACAACCACCTTCAAACCATACAAAAATATACATATATAAACTGCATATATAAATTCTCTCTAATTAAGACAAATATGGAAGTTACTTCATGACAGCATCAACATTATTACTCCTTTCTCAAAACATGTTCCAAACAGGGCCAGATTCTTTCCAAAACCAAATCCAAATATGTTCCCAACATGTGTGTTTGAACTTGTTTAATTATAAACAGAAAGTCTTTTATTACCCAGCAGCAGTGTTTCAATTGAAATTCCAAATCATAGTTTTTGAAATCATATATAAGGAATTCACATACAGCACAAGCCTCGGGGGGAGACCAAAAGAAGATTTCAGAACACACATACCACACCAGACATAATTTACATGACCAACATTAAGAAGGAGGATCAAAGAAGAAGGAAGGGGGAATTGGAAGGAGGAGGGTATCGAAACTTATCTGCACGTATAGCCGACATCGCGGAGTCGCCGTTTGCGTCGAAACCTTCAGACCCTTTAAAAATCGTCTTCAAACCGCCGAAGGAGTGACAACTGAGTGGTACCATCATTTCAGCTTCACAGCAAGACCGCTGCCGCAGCCTTGTCTTGGCTGGTAACATCATTCCGTTCTTGTTTGAGAATGAAAGTCAAATGCAGAACTAAGATTGAGAGGCAATACCCTAGAGCAAAAATATGAACATGAGAGATTGAAAATTGCATATTATTATTATTTATAAAATTAGAATGAAAAACTTACGTTTGAGAGATATAAGCAATGGATGAGAGAAGGGAGGACGGTTGCCGGAAGGAATGAGGGTGAAAATATTCGCTTGCAGAGAGATGAAAAGTTAGGGTTTAAACTTTAAACAACCCCCAACTTTGAGAAACTATATGGAGCGGATGAAAAATTTCAAGTTTTTGAACAGATCAATTAATTAATAAATTTTGAATTCAAATTAAAACAAAATGGTGTTATTGTTCTGATGTTAGCGAGGTCTTACTACAAAGTCAAGTTCTCGGGTTCAAATTTTGATTTTGCCAATTTTCTTAAATTAATTTTTCAATCATATTTTCAAGTTTGAGTTAGAGCACTTCAAGGACAGGGGTTCGATCCCCACTGTACATTTAATATGCGAATAATTAACATTAAGGGACGGTTCTTATATGCTACGCTTATGTAACTGTGGATAGAAGGACGATTCTTATATGCTACACTTATGAAACTGTGGATAGAAGTGAATACGCAACAGTTATACTATAACCACATTTTCAAACCGTAGCATATAATAAATAAGGGACGGTTTTGAAAAAAAAGCGTCCACACGTAAAAAAGCGTAGCCTATGTTACTTATAGGGACGGTTTTACAGTCGTTGTCTATTCCTCCGTTGCCTAAAGTCATTTTTGTTGTAGTGAAAGGGGTTGCAGGAACGGCATCAAAGGATGCAGGAAGCTCCATGAAAAAGACCGAAATAGTAAAACGGCTTGCAGTAATGGAAAAAGGAAAACGGGTTGCAGAAAAATCATTGAAGGATACAAGAAGCTCCGTGAAGAAGACCGAAAAAGAAAAATGACTTGCAGTAAAGGCATCAAAGGATGCGGGAAATTGAAAAGCCAAGTAAGTGGAAGAATGTTCGGACATTGTTGAAGTTATCGCAAAATGCAGAAAGAGGTAAATAAACTCTCTTGTTGTTGTTGCATGTGCAATATTTATTTATTTTTTTGTTGTAGAGTGTTGTGTATGTTATAAACATTTGGGCTATATTCATATAAATGATAACGAAGCATATATATGTCACTTTAAATGGTTTACGGAATTTTTAGAAATTATTGATTAATTTGCATGTATGGTTGGTGGGTTCGAAATGAAGTGTTAGTTTTATAACTTTTTGTAATAACAAAGAAGGCAAAATGTGTAATATGTAATCAATCTTTTTTGGGTGTTAAAAGAGGTATGAGTGAAGTTGGAAATTTTATTTGATTGAACATATGCTATGCTGTGTATATATAAATTAAAGGCATGATGATGTCAAACTTTTTATCTTAAGGTTATGAATGACATATTCACTGAGCAACATAATGGGATGCAGTTTATGATCTATTAAGTTGTAATGTATTTCGTGATATATGATTATATGTATGTCCACGTAATGCAAAGAAGATAACCTAGGAGAAGTAGAGAAAGAAGAATTAAAGAAGGTTCATGTTAGATTGTGGAAAGCATTCAAGGATCCCAACCTGGATAAGTACAACAGTCGTTCTAAATCAGATGACGACGATGAAGACTATACAGCAGAAGAATTATATTAGGAAAAAGAAATCAAATTTGGCTACAAAGCTAGAAATAATGTGCTGGTAAGGGTGAATAGAAACAATTAGAAAGTTATCTTATTTTGTTAATAGACATACATGTTAATAATTAGTCGTGTGTATGATACAACATTTCCCTAGAGAAGCAACAAAAAAGTGCCTATATTGGAATCAAGAAGCAATTGAATTTGTTGATGACGATACTGGAAAAGGCTATTATGGAGAGGTTCATTATGCCAAGAGGAATAATAAAATTATCATGAAGGAGAAATTTGTTGGAAGTGAGTGGTATGAGTATGCAAAAAATAAGAGGCTAATAATATGAGATAAGCTGAGATTTAGCATTGGCTAACCTTCGGATAGGATGTATGTGGCCTTGTTAAATCATTGAGAATGGTTGAATAAAGAGTTGAGGACTTAGAGACTTATGAATGATGGATAGTTGTATGTTGATGCTAGTCTTGTAATGAGAATGTGTTAATAATTCTGTAGTATATGGATAATGGTTATGGAGAGTATGTGTTTTGTTTAAATATTTTGCTGTAATATTGGAACATATGTATTTCTTTTGAATGATTTTTTTATTATGGATAATCTTATAAGCTTAGTGTAATGTTGATGGTATGAAGAATGTTATAAGTTTGTTCTAATTGTAAGAATTTCATGGTATTCCTAAGCATTCAATATTTGGGTACATGGTGGTATGAGATAATGGAATGGTTGATGTAAAAATAACAGTTTAATTATGTTGAGAGATGAAATAATGTAAATTTAATGTGAGGTCAATGTATTAAAAACCACCATTGTATACATTTATGATGACAACTAATATCTTATATGCATTTATACAGGAGTGTTTTAAAAAGGTTTGATTGTAAAAAAGTGGAAATATTGTCTTTGTAAAAAAGACAAAATAGGTCAGCATGAAAATTATCTTTCACGCAATCCATTAAATTTATCTATGAAAAAGTAGGTTTTAATATATATTAATGGTTACATAAGTTGTATATGATATTTTATAGTGAAATCTACATCATAACATGTGCAGAGTGAGAAGATTTGCATAAGTAGAATGGGTAGAATAGGGTTATAAATAGTTTGCATTATATTAGTAGGGATAAGATATCACGCATGTGTAGTCATTCAAGAGTAGTAAAAAAACATTTAAAAATATGTTTTAGTAGTTACAAGCGTGTTATCTAAGTCTTTGTAAGAAAAATTTGAATTCTACCATTCTAAAGGGTGGTAATTGTAGATAACATTGGTTGGTTTGTTGCAAGTTAAGATTGTGTCATGTACTCAACTAATGCAATAATTATGTCTATGGTTTTACGGAGAAGATTTAAAATGCAGTTAGCACAAATAAAATTGTTGTTATGTTTGTGACAAACATGCACTGTCTTCCACATATATCATGAAGTAGTTTATAGTTTTTTGTTCAATGGAAGCGCTAAAGTTAAAGCATCACAAAAATATTACATAGAAAAAGCAAAGTAGTATAATTAATAATCCCAAAAAGTAGCTGAAGGTGCAAAATGTTGACATGATATGTGAGTCCATTAGCCCCATGTATAAAAGTGTGTTGAAAGTGGTATCTATAAGAAGAAAAAATTTGCATTCAATAATAAATTATATTGTGATAAATGACAACTGTTGCAAAGAATGGTTTAAATAAAATAAAACTAGTTGATTGCTAAATTGGAAATGCATAACATTATTACAATTATAATACAATGTAGCATACTATATAAAACTAATAATGTCATGTACGTGTTAAATATTGTGGAAGACCTCTTTGTTGTTAAATCTTTGACATTATTATGTTTATCATGTATCAAAATCTTGATCCTTTTATTTGAAGTCACTCTTGAAATTTCAACATATATTTAACTGTAACTAAAAATATCTTGTGGAAAATATAAATCAACCCAATTAAGAGATTAACTTTGGAATTTATTGATAGTCATTGCATATGACACAATAATTGGGAATTATCTTCGATTTAATTTAAAGGGCCATGGAGATTGTGATAGAGACATATCCATACGTGGTATGTAAATGAGATTTCCATGGCCTTTACCACCCATTATCCTTACCTCGAGTACATGGTTCGCCATCTTAGTCACAATAAAACGTGTTATATTACACAAACCCTCAGATTGATCAAGGTTCCTCATTAGCATTACAGGTGCCCTAATCTTCAATTTTATGTGATGTTCGGGTAATCCTGAAGTTCTTAGAG